CCGCTATCGTTGTAGTTCGCATACACTCCATATTGAAGTGGGTAGATATTATAATGTCCCAAGAGACCAAAGACTTTGTAACCTCTGTAACATTGATCTTATCGAAAACGAATACCATTTTCTGTTAATTTGTAAAACATATAATAATCTTAGAAACAAATATATTCCAGGAAAATATCATGTCCATCCTACATTACATAAATTTAACCTATTGTTGTCATTATGTCATGCTGAAACCATTAAAAACCTTTCACTATATATATTCCATGCCATGAATATCAGAAGCTCAATAATGTCCATTGTGAACCTGACTATCTAAATGTACAATGGGCTGATGGCCTACAGTGCGAAATGAATAAAGAAATACATCACAATTTATTATACTCCCGACAAAATGTCAGGGGTATATAGTTATACCAAGATTCCGTTTGTCCGTCCGAAAACTTTGTCCGTGCAATTTCTCTTAAACTATTCAGTGGATTCATCTCAAACTTAGTACATATAATCTGTGTCATATGGAGGGGTGCAGTCATAAGAAAAAAATTATTTTTATGAATTTTCCATTTTTTTATGAATTTTTCAAACCCTAACGTCCGTCCGAAAACTTTGTCCACGTGATTTCTCTTAAACTATTCAGTGGATTCATCTCAAACTTAGTACATATAATCTGTTTCATATGGAGGGGTGCAGTCAAAAGAAATTTATTTTTTTTTATTAATTTTCCATTTTTTTATGAATTTTTCAAACCCTAACCTCCCTCCGAAAACTTTGTCCACGTGATTTCTCTTAAACTTTTCAGTGGATTCATCTCAAACTTAGTACATATAATCTGTGTCATATGTAGAGGTGCAGTCAAAAGAAAAAAATGTTTTATTAATTTTCCATTGTTTTATTAATTTTTCAAACACTAACCAGGGTTTCCCCTGACGCAGTATTCTTGCGTATATGACACTCAATTAAGGAAAAATAGGTCCAGAAATTAATGACTGCGTCATGACTGACGCAATTTCAAAATATCTGTGTTGTTGTTTACCAGCTTTGGAATGAAAATATTACAACTACTCACCTGAACTTAATTTATAAACATTTTCTGAAGACAATTTATGCAAACATCTTAAAATTTACGTCTAGTTTTAAATTAATTGTCGTTTCAAAATATATTTATGCATCAAAGTGAACGTAACTCTCACACTCCATGTGGCTTCGATGACAGCACGTGATGTAAACAAAGGAAAATTCCGCAAATAGACAAGGTTTTTCATGTTTCGGCATATTTTCTCACTTAAAGTTAACCATGACATATGTTTATCTAGATGTGTAGACTCGTAAAAAATGAAACAGAAGAAATATTATCATTGTTGCGGTGAATAATGTGATTTGGCACGGTTACAGTATGTGGTTAAGCAGAACCTATGGAACGGGGTAAACAGAAGTTGTAAGTATCAGAGGGACACATGTTTTTGCCGAAATTTAGGTAAACATTATTGAATGAAATTTTAAATAAAATTAATAAAATGGATGACAAACATAGGGTCAGATATACAGAGAACACATTTTTATTACCAGATAGTGTAACAACAGGATTAACTTGCGTAATTCAATTTGGATTTGTTATGCTATTTCCGATGACTGATCATGACAGCCTGAAATAAGACTGAAGAAAAGTCTGTGCGTATTATACACGAGAGATATTTTTTTCAGGATTTTATAGCCCATAATTAGGGGTGTGTATTATACACGAGTGTGTATTATACGCGAATAAATATGGTATATACGAAATGTAAAGCTTTTGGCGTGTTTGTTGTTGCTAATAAAACTGTATTCAACCAGAAAATATTACGAGTGTTCACAAGTCTTCAGTTCATCTTCACTGTTGATAGATAATACAAGATAACTAGATAAAAGATGTAAATGAGCTAGTGGTATTAGATTATAATCTGACATGAAATGTATTTTAATATCCATCCATGATTAAAAATTATGTCTCACAGTTGGGACTGATGTTATTTATTCATCCTGTATTAGTGTCACTGTAAATTGTTTCATGAGCTGTGAAGTAATTAAAGATTGTGAAAAGATAAAACCAACAAACTTTGTTTTTCATTCATATATCCTTTATTTCTCTGTAGTACAATCAGCTGAGAACATTAATTAGCACTTGTTAACTTAAACTAAAGACATATAATATTTAAAAGATACTTAACTTTAAGTGTAACATTAACAGTGAACACTTTAAATTTCATTAATCATACAATAAAACATTTGACTCTCAATAAATATTTTTGACTCCCAAAAATTCATAGGCTGAGTCAAGGTGACTCTCAGATATTGGAGTCTAGGGGGAACCCTGCCTAACCCTATCCTAGCTATCTAATTTGTAACTACTGACACTAGCAGGGTATGGGTATTAGTGAGCCACGCTCACTTTTGCACTTGTTGTTAACTGTTCTCGGCGCAAATCCAGGGGAATTTCGCCGGTAATGGCCTGCAGTGAGGTAAGCGAGGTGCACTGTTGTGTGCGAGTGATTATCTTAAGTGCTTGGTATTGGATTGAATTTAGTTTATCGTTTAGTGTTGTGCTTAAGGTATTGTAAATTGGGCATCCATAGTCTATTTTTGATCTAATTAATAATGATTAATAGTGATAGTAGGGTCTCCTTGTAGGCCCCCAATTGGAACCTGTCAGGCAGCGTAGTGTATTTAGGTCTTTACTGCATCTATTTATTAGGTCTTTAATGTGAGCACCCCAGGTTAGATGTTCCACAAAGATTAGTATTAGAAATTTTGTCTGTTTTTGGAAATGTATAGGATTATTGTTTGTTTGTAGTTTGGGGATGTTTGCGTGCATATTTTTGTTTGACAACTATCCCTATGGTTTTTTAGCATTTAGTGAGAAGCCCCGTTTGTTTGCCCATATTTGTTTAATGCCTTCTGTAATAATTTTTGTGTTATATTTAGACTTTTGGTGCGGATCCAGAGGGCTCCGTCATCTGCATATTTAGACATTTGAACTTTATTTGATAATCCCTCGAATAAGTCATTTATCATAATGTTGAAAAGTGTTCGGCTTAGAAAGCTGCTGGTAGCTTTTGATCGATTCCCACAGTTATTTTGTGGTTTGTTAGGAAGTCTTGAATGTAGACCCTTCTTCCCAAACCGATATTTATACTAACCTACATGATTACTTATTATATCATTGGTTTGGGTAAGTTAACCAATCACAACAAGCTTAGGTTTTGGGGACGAACCATATTCGGGTTTAACATTTAAGGTTTTGAACTATTTGGAACTTTAAGATGTGTATCCTTTGACACAAACTAGAAGGTGGTGACTTCTATTGTTTTATGTAATTAGCCCCAGGTAATTAGGGTGCTGTCTCATTGATACAGAGGTTATCAAGTGGTGTCGACAATGTTATTTTAGGATAATATTTTTATTGTTGGAATATAGGGTTTAAGGTTTGTTTACATTGATACTTAGACACTACAAATTAAGTCATAGTTTATATGGCATTTAGATTAAACATTGTTTCAATATAGATAACTATTTAATGTTTTGGTTCATGTGACTATGTACCATATTTTCTTGTGTACAGTGTGCACTTTTTTCCAAAAAACACAGCTGTCTAGAAGGGGGTGCACATTATACTTGCCATAATGAGTTTTGATTGTTTTTTTCCCCCAATGCAAAGACATTACCGTGAGCATTTAAACAACGGAAATACCATGTCAACAAATCCATACTGAACTACTCAAATTAATCATGTAATTACACTGTCTGGTTATAAAAAGTGTTCTTTGTATATCTTGACTTATGTTTGTAACTTATTTCATTAATTTTATTCAAAATTCCTTTTAATATTGTTTTAATTAATTTCGGCGAAATCGTCTGTGAAACGATCAGAAGATCACACAACTCACTGTTATTAACAGCAACCACTGTCAGATTACCACTAATTTGCTGAATGGGTACAGTGTAATTTATTTTTTGTGCATAATATTTGAATATTTTTTTTTCCAAAATACTGAAGCTGCTAGAGGGGGTTGCGCATTATACTTGGGTGCACACTATACTCAAGAAAATATGGTATTGTATGGTTTAATATTTAGAACATCACAGTGCTATTTTGATACCTTAGTTATTGATGTTTATATATATATATATAATGTATAATGTTGGAAACTACCAGTTTCTAACAGTTATTTTGGTTTTAAACATTAAAGATTATTACAAAACTCATGTTTAATGCCCATGATATCTCACCAGTCACGATAACAGTGTTGGGGATCGTGTTGATTAAAACATAAATGGTGTGGCTGACATGTTATTGTGGTAGATTACATATGCATGAGTAAGTTCTGTTGTTGTTGAACAAACTAAGATATGAAATGACCATTTATTAAGGTAACGACACCGTAATATGCTTATAACTTGTTTTTAAGGTAGCTAGAAGCATAGAACTAAAGTACTGCATTAGACATCATTAGGGTGAACAAAGATGAATACAGGTTGATACTGGTCAGGGCAACTGTCACCTCATTTGGTGAGTGAAAATGGCTTTCTAGTGGGACAGTTTTGGGGCATTCAAGACATGGTGAGGATATAGGGTTGCTTCTGTATTTTTGCATGTAAAGCAGATATATTTCCAGTTACAGGCCACCATTGTATAGCTGTAGCTGAATGTTTCAATAAACATCAAACAAGGAAGTAAACATGCTGTAAGTTCCAGAAGCATGCAGCCAAATCTGTCCGACTATATGGGTGAAAGACCACATGATGCTGTAGACAAAACTGACACAACATTATGGATTTTAACTAACATTGAAAGAATTGTCAAGTCCAAACATTTGAAATTGGAAAGCCCAATGTGGTAAATGTCTAAGAGATCAGTGATGGCTTACTCATGTTCAACCAGTTGAGTAGAAGTTCTGGTTTCAATTATGGTTTTGGGTGTTGTATGACATAATATGTTCATTATTTGTAATGCATATGTTTCCAAGATTGGCCATGTGCAGTTCAACACAGAAGGACCAGGTCAGACCCTCAGAGCATGTCCTGTAATGGAGCAGAAGGATGGTGAAGTTGGCAGTCGTCAGGATGAGGCCTGTGGCAAAGAGGTGATGGAGGGAAATGCAGGACTATGCAGGTTTGGAATACATCCTTTGTCTGCTAATGACATGTCTAATATGTCAGTTGATAAATATATGTATTCAAATTCACACCATGGTTAAACTGATATAAGACTGGTTTCTGAAGAAACACCTTGAAATATGTTCATGGATTACAACACGCTAGCTTGTTGTACTGCATTGGTCTTGACTTTAGATTTCATTAGACAACATTAGGGATTAAGATGAATAGGTAGATATTGGTAAGGTCATGTGTGACTTGATTTGTCTGTTGTTTCTATGCTACATGTTTCTGGGTGGTAATTCAGGAAAGGTAGGGGATGGGGCTGCTTCTTGCTTCATCTTTCTAGTTATTCATACTTCTAAAAGCATATAATTCACATTAACCGTAACATAAAGACAGAGAGAAGATATATTGAAACATTTCCTGGAACCTTGGCACAGCTGCCATGGAGGCCCCTGGTTGAGTGTGAGAGTGTGTTTGAAGTATTTTCTTTTCTTGTTGCTCCTTTGTTATACCTCCTCAACCACTATAAATATGTAAATAGCAAGACAGGCAGTCTTGATGTTTTTTCAATAGTCGACTGCAGTATTAAACATCATTCAGTCACTCATCCAGTCTGGGACATAATGCAAAAAAAATAATCAAATTTAGCACATTCTAGTCAGGTGGTAATTCCTTTAGTAATGTGAGGTTCCATCCGTGTTGTGCCCTGGTGATTTTGGCCACACTCCCATGGCACTTGCAACATATGATATCATACCAGTAGATAATCTGCTTTTCCCCTGTGAAAAATCTAAGTTTGGTATGGATTGACATTTCAGTGTTCACTACAAAGAGTATTTGGTTGGCCTGATTAACCGACACAAACTAGACCCAGTGAACATCATGACTTCTGAGCAGATGCATCGACTTATTTCCCGAACAGAGATAGCAGAACAGAAGAAGAATGACACAGAAACCCAAATCCAGTTCAACAACAGGTTGACAACGGTGAGAGCAAAGGATGTTTATCTAAAATGAAATTTTCCACTCAAAATCTCACAACCCACCTAAAGGTCACATGTGAAGTCTGATCTAAACAATCTGATTAAGGATTCATCGGTTCTTGAACCACTCAGATGTCAGCTTTCTAAAATGATTCGGGCTTCAATGCTTTTACTACCTCAATTTGGAAAATCCCCACTGAGCACAATTAATCCTTCCATAGTACTCCCTACTGGGTGTAGCTGCCACGGGGCTCAGAAATGAGTGTATAAAATATCCATCTCAATGATACTGCTTTATTGATATACCCTAGTCCTGAAAGGGCAGGGGTGAATACTTATGCCAAGGAATTCTGTATGTCCGTCTGTCTGTCCGTCCTTCCTTCCACCTGTCTGTCCATCCTTCCGAGGACACTTTTTGTGCAGCCTATAACTTAAACACTACTGAGATTCTTTTCAAACTTGGTGAATACCTTGTATACCGATAGGAGAGGTGCAGTGCAAAGTTTGAGTTCAATATTTTTATTTTCTGACAAAATACAGCTATTTTTCCTTTTTTTACTTACAAATTTGTGCGACCTGTAAATTGAAAACTACTGCATGTATTCTTTTCATTTGTAGTGAACAGTTTCCTTAGAAAAGGTGCAAAATTTGATTTTGATAAGTGTATTTTCAGAGAAAATATGAATTTTTACATGTTTTGCACCTATAATGTATTTTTTTTACTTCAACATTTGTGCAAACTTGAGAACTACTAGATGGATTCTTTTCAAATTTAAGCAACACTTTCTATACAAATAGGAGAGGCGCAGTGCAAAGTTTTATTTTGGTAGATTTTCGGAGAAAATAATGGGTATTTTTTCATGTTTTGAACTTTGAAATATTATAGACCTATATAGACCTAAAAGAGCAAATCTTGCTGATGATGCACCAGTGAATCTTTGAATTATGCCATTACTATGTTATGTTATTGTGCTTTTTAAGATCAAACCAGCTCAAACGTAAAGGCATCAATATATTTCCTATTTCAAAATTGTTCTTCAGCTGATGATGTCGGGGATATTGTCCTTATTTACATTCAGTTTTTGGTGTTAAAGTTCATGTTCCAGATAGATCAAAATGCTGGTCTGAATTCTCTGCTCTCTTGTACCTCCTGGCTGATTGTGTGATAAGATAGTTGACATGATACAAGATAGTTGACATGATGCAACCTCCCATAGGTGAGTGAGTTGGGTTTAACGCCGCTTTTAAAATTATTCCACTTATATCACGGCGTGTCAACTTAATTTGGGAGGAAAGCCCAAAATGATGCAGGTATCAGACGTTTACAACTTTGGTGAAACCCATGAGCCCGGGTATGGTGCTGACAAACCTGGAAAAATAATCGGGGAGAACCAGGATTTGAACCCACAATCTTAGGTTGTCTGGCATGCCCAAGGGACGCAACTCTGCACAGCAAATAGCGGCGCCTTAGACAACTGGGCCACCCGTGCCCCCAACCTCCAATGGAGGGGTTGTCAGATCTTCATGCAGAGAACTATAGTATTGGAGTAAGAACATGACATTTTAATGAGATTGATCCATATGGTTTACAAAAGAAAATTTATTATAATGATCAGAGAAACAGGTGTATAAACCATTTCATACTCAGAATTAAATTGATGTTCTATTATTTGACCAAAAACATTTACATTAAGCAGACCTAGACGAAGTTACACAGCCAACAAATATGAAATGATTAAAAATCCCTCACTGCACAAAACTATCAGTTCACCCAGCTCACCCAGCTCACCCAGCTCACCCGCTAAACTAAACTAAACTGTTTTAGTTCACCTTTCTTAAAAACCAATGAGCTTTTGTGGTGGTGTGTTGTCCGTCATCTGTCTACAGTAAAATAAGCTTTAGCATTATTCACATTGTCCCTGAAACTACAAGGCCTTGGAAGATGAAACATTATGTGAAAGATCCCAGCTATAGTCTAACTAAACTGTGCTCAAACATTCTTTAACTTATCCTGCATTACCTGCATACTATTATTATATTACACTATATATCCATTATTTTGAACTTAAACTTTGTTTGTTCTCTGTAATTGGGTATCCTTCTCTTTGCACCTTCACCATAAATTGTTTCAATTTATACAAGTTGCTTGCACTCTTAGCCGTTTTTTCAGTTGTTTAGTGTAATACAATTCCTATATTATAACATAAATCCATTATTTTGAATTGAACCTTTGTTTGTTCTCTATAATTGGATAATTAGTTTATGGCTTCAACTTAAATAGTTTTTTCAGTTCATGCTTACTTGTTGTACTAATAGCCGTGGTAATAAGCCTATTAAAGACCCTCACCGACTGTGTCTAAGGCTAAAAAAAAATATTCTTGGTTCTCAGGCACCGCCGCATCATCAAAAAGTCTGCCGCAAATTTCGTTTTAATTTCCTTTTTCAAAAAAAATAAAAATCCTAAAATGTTCCGCGTCTCGAACACACGACCTCAACTGTGAAATGCTACAATACTTAAAAACAATGCGATCCAACATAACGTGCAGTTACTTCCCTTTTCATGGACACTGATTTAGTAGTATAGGTAATGGGGGTTCTGCCGCAACTCCACTGGAGCCGGATTCATATACCTATACTGCTACTACAGGTGGCATTTTTTATGCCAAAATGATTATGCGATTCAACGACAGTCATAAGATTAAGTTAAATTGGCTCTAGCTCACCAATACCTGGGGCCAATCAATGCTTTAGATGAGCCTAAATGGTAATAAAAATATTCTTCATTATTTTTATCGATAAAGTGATATTCAACATTTTTATTAAGTTCTTCGTTCATTTTACTAGGAGACCAGACTATATAACTGCACTCTTCTTGTAAATTGATAAGAAACAATTGATAACCGTATTTGATTGGTTTGACATCACTGATATAATAAAAACCTTGTGGTAATTCTCTCCATTTAATAGCTTTTTCGATCTCCATTATTATATATATGTATGTAAGCATTTGTCTAAATGTGATCAAACGATAGTAAGCAATCTATTTTTAATCTCCAACCAGTTCTTTGGTTTTGGCACGGAATAATTGACGCGCTTGTTGCCTCCCCTGTTCTATGAACTTTTTTTTCTCATCTTCGCTAATACCACTGGTCTTACGAGAATTGGATCGAATCTCCTGCTTCATTGCGTTGTATTTGGTGAGTTCCGACAGCACTAAACGAAACTCATCCTCGGATATCTTACAATCGACCATTGCTGTTGAAATATGATCCTCAATGCTGTTCAACTTTGCTTCGGCGAGTATCCGAATACTATCGTGTTTTAATGCTTTCTTTTGTAACCTATGAGAAATAAATTTTATCGATATTCCTTCCAGTCCCGAGACTCCAGCGGCTATTTCCATACCGAGCACGATAGGCGTGGCGATTATAGTTGATAGTAAACCAACCGCGACTCCACCGAGTCCCATGCCAGCTACTACAAGCGCGGTGTCAACTCCGTCCAGAGCATTCACGGCTCTGTGATACTTTTTATACAATCCAAGTCTCAACTCCCTATCCTTCTCTATTCGATGTTTTATGTCGCTTATTTGATGTAATCGAAATCCATCAACAGTATCCATCTTTTCAAATGCTTCATCGAGCGCTGGATATAAACTCATAGTGTATATTACGATCATATAATAGTCTTTAATTGGTCTTGCTTAAATGTTTTGAGACTATACATCAACCTTATCAAATGTATATTATACGGCAAGAATATCTTAGAAAGAGAAATGCTGTCACTTTTAATAATTTGGACCCTCTCGAGGGTTGCAACGGGTGATGCTCCGATATGAATAATACTGCAACGTCGACGTTGGTGTTTCTTGAGCCATTTAATCGATGGACCTGGTAATATTTCGAAAGACATTTTCCGGTGCATCTCCGAACAAGACTTCAATAATAAGCGTAGAAAGATTAGGTATTGCACTCAAGTTAACTTTAATATCATCGAATTCAGTAACCAAATTTAAACTAACGTTTTGGATTGCCGGACGACTATATAACATATAACCTGGGTTTTCTGGCAGGGGGGTGACTAACACACTTTTTCGTTTTGATGGGATATAAGCCGCGAGTACGATGCCACTATTTATTATCTTAGTTAAATTATGTCCCTTACCCATCATCACATAAGGTGGGGTAATGACGATATTCAGTAGCCACTCGATGTTTGCTTCGACCATAGTCCATTTATTCTCGCCGTTGAGAATAATATTGTACGAAGTGTTTTTATTGAGTCTACGAACGTCGACATCGCTTAAATCTTCTAGATTACCCGTGAATGTAACTTCTTTCCGCTTGTATACATTATCGTGTAAGTGTAAAGCGTATAACTTACCATTGTAACCGGGTTTATCAAATCCTTCTGTGTCTCCGAGATCGGAAAGCGCAATTGTATTACATTGTCTGAGCGTTCCAGGGCCTGATGCATCAACCATTATTTTTAATATGGAGTGTTACACTTAAGTATCCTATATGTACTGGTTGGTGTTTTACATCTAATACAGAAATTTTGAGGTCTGAAATAATACCACGCTTCAATTTTTTATATTGTAATGACGAGAAAGATTCCGTTCTACCGCTATTGTATTTTTCATCTTTAACTGGAATAGATCTGAGCAGAGTTGAAGGACTTTCTAGTTGAATATTATTTGTCATGCTTATTTGATCAAGATGGATACACAACTCTTTATAGGGAACTAAATCGGGTAATTTAACATCCAGATGTATGCTAATTAAGCGACTAAATTCCCATGTAGCTGATTGTTCCAATAAAAATATATTTTGATTTCCAGTGTCTAATTTCACTGTCCCAGTCGCCTCATTTTGTGTGAGACTAGCTCCATTAGGCTTAAAAATTTCATCATTGAGTGAGCTTACGCTGTAATACCCATCAGGTATAGTAATGGATTTGCCAGTACCAGTTGTAGTTAATAACCATATCCTATTATTATCTTTT